GGGGATTGAGCCTGGGACCTTCTGCATGCCACGCAGAGGCTCTGCCACTGAGCCACAGCCCCTCTTTGCAGCTCTCCAGGGTCTCAGGCAGGGGTCTCTCCCATCCCCTGCTGCCTGGTCCTTTTTAACTGATGCCGGGGATTGAGCCTGGGACCTTCTGCATGCCACGCAGAGGCTCTGCCACTGAGCCACAGCTCCTCTTTACTGCTCTCCAGGGTCTCAGGTGGAGGTTTTTCCCATCACCTCCTGCCTGGTCCTTTTTAACTGGAGATGCTGGGGATTGAACCTGGGGCCTTCTGCATGCCAAGCAGAGACTCTGCCACTGAGCCACGGCCCCTCTTTACAGTTCTCCAAGGCCTCAGGCGGAGGTCTTTCACCTCACCTCCTGCCTGGTTCTTTTATAACTGGAGATGCTGGGGATTGAACCTGGGACCTTCTACATGCCAAGCAGAGGCTCTGCCACTGAGCCACGGCCCCTCTTTATAGCTCTCCAGGGTCTCAGGCTGAGGTCTCTCCCATCCCCTCCTGCCTGGCCCTTTTTAACTGGAGATGCCTCTGGGGATTGAACCTGGGGCCTTCTGCATGCCAAGCAGAGGCTGTGCCACTGAGCCACGGCCGCTCTGTACAGCTCTCCAGGGTCTCAGGCGGAGGTCTTTCCCATCACCTCCTGCCTGGCCCTTTTAATTAGTGATGCTGGGGATTGAACCTGGGACCTTCTGCATGCCAAGCAGACACTTCACCACCGAGCCATGGTCCCTCCCCTTAAAACATGAACATACATGAAGCTGCCTTATTCCGAATCAGACCCTTAGTCTGTCAGGGTCAGTCTTGTCAACTCAGGCCGAGGGTCTTTCACATTGCATCCTACCTGATCCTTTCAACTGGAGATGCTGCTGGGGATTGAACCTGGGACCTTCTGCATGCCAAGCAGAGGCTCTTCCACTAAGCAACAGCCCCTCCCCAGTGGTAGAGCATCTGCTTTGCATGCAGAAGATCCCGGGTTCAGTCCCTGACATCTTCCACTGAAGGAACAGGGAGTAAAAGATGTGAAGGACCCCCGCCAGCCCAAGTAGAGAATCCTGAGCTTGATAGACCAAGAGTCTAGCTTAGTGTGAGGCGGTTGTATGTATTCCAAGAGGATGGGGCAACGCTTGGGACAGGAGTGCCTTCTCACATGTCAATGGGGAGTGCTTACTGTACCAGCAGTATCTTGCTGCCTTGGGACGTTTGGAACGAGTAGCACAGTTGGGTCTGGAGTGGAAAGTAATCGCGCCTTAGCTAGCGGGAGTTAGCGAGAGGGGCCCCCTTTCCACAGGCCACCCTCTCCATTTCCCCACAAACACTGGAATACAGGTTGGCCCCTTTTCTTTGTTGCCATTAGCCTGAAACATAGAGGGACCCCCGAAGTTTCTACCCAAACCAGGTGAACAGTAAGAACATAAGAACATAAGAGATGCCAATGTTGGATCAGGTCAAAGGCCCATCCCGTCCAGCACTCTGTATCACACAGTGGCCAGAAATACCAGGGGCCATCAGGAGGTCCAGCAGGGGGGCCAGGACACTAGAAGCCCTCCCACAGGTGACCCCCCCCCCCAAGCACCAAGAATACAGAGCATCACTTGCCCCAGAGCCCCTATCTATACCTTGTGGCTAATAGCCACTGATGGACCTCTGCTCCATATGCTTATCTAATTCCCTTTTGAAGCCGTCCATGCTTGTAGCTACCACCACTTCTTGTGGCAGTGAATTCCAAGTGTTAATCACTCTTTGGGTGAAGAAGTACTTCCTTTTATCCATTCTAACCCAACCGCTCTGCAATTTCATGGAGTGCCCACGAGTACAAGAACATAAGAGACCGCAATGTTGGATCAGGCCAAAGGCCCATCCAGTCCAACACTCTGTCACACAGTGGCCAAAAATACCAGGTACCATCAGGAGGTCCAGCAGGGGGGCCAGGACACTAGAAGCCCTCCCACAGTTGACCCCCCCCCCCAAGCACCAAGAATACAGAGCATCACTTGCCCCAGAGCCCCTATCTATACCTTGTGGCTAATAGCCACTGATGGACCTCTGCTCCATACGCTTATCGAAGAATGCTGTTGTGGCTGAGCATAAAGGAAGGCATGTACCTTTCCTTTGAAACTTGCTTTTAAGGTAGAAGAAGAAGAAGAAAAGAAGAGACTGGATTTATACCCTGCCCTTCACTCGGAGTCTCAGAGCGGCTTACAAGCTCCTTTCCCTTCCCTCCCCCACAACAGACACCCTGTGAGGTAGGTGGGGCTGAGAGAGCTCTCTCAAGAACTGCCCTTGAGAGAACAGCTCTGACAGAACCATGGCTTGCCCAAGGTCATCCAGCAGCTGCAAGTGGAGGAGGAGTTGGGAATCGAACCAAGTTCTCCCAGATTAGAGTCTGCACACTTAACCACTGCACCAAACTGGTAGGAGAACCCTGTTCAATCCCAGGCATGGGGGTAGAAGCAAACACCTCTGGTTAAGAGGTCAGCATTTGGTTTGAGAAAGGGATATTGTGCGTCCAGTTCTCGCTTGCTTTAATTCTCCCTGTTTTTGCCCTCCTACCTTCCACTTCGGGGTACTTCATCAGGAAAAGGAATCCATATCTTAGGGTGGAGCTGACCGTCTCTGTCCCAGCGAAGAATAAGTTGAGGGTGGTGAGGATCAGGTTCTTCAAGTTGAATTCGCTGGAAGGGTTTCCCTTTTCCTTTGGAGGTGTCAAAGGAAAGGGTTGTCATAAATGACCAAGCAGGTTGTGAGAGAGGGAACTAGGGAAAAGGTGACTAAACTTTGTATAGGAGCCCAAGTTTAAGCTAAGCACCTGGACGTTAATTCGTAAATGAAAGCTACAAGTATTCTGTCATATCAAAGACAATAGGGTTATGCGTCTGTCATTTGTCCGTTCGAAACATGGTCTACTTATGTGAAGGAGGGAGAGAGAAGAAGAAGAGGAGGAGGAGGAGGAGATTGGATTTATACCTGGCCCTTCACTACCCAAAGGAGTCTCAGAGGGGCTTACAATCTCCTTTCCCTTCCCCTCCCCACAACAGACACCCTGTGAGGTGTAGATGGGGCTGAGAGCTCTTGACAGAAACGGCTCTTTTTCAAGGACAGCTGTGCCAGAACTACGGCTTGCCCAAGGTCATCCAGCCAGGTGCAAGTGGAGGAGTGGAGAATCAAACCCGGTTCTCCCAGATTAGAGTCTGCGCACTTCACCACGACACCAAACTGGGGTCCGAACTGCCTTGGACTCTGGTAAGAACTTTCTAATGTGGCCACACAGTGGTGCCTTGTGATACAGATACGTGCTGTATTGTGTTCATCCTCACATCCCCCCCCCATTTTGTAGATATGGTCTGAGAAGAAGCGGGTCACCTAAGACTACCCAGAATGTATGAAGGACGATATGGGATCTGAAATGACAGACATATTTTTTCAAAAGGGGGGGGGGATTCCCAAACTCTAGCCTTTCCTCCTATGTCCTTCTAACCCCTTGAACATTTGGGTTGCGCTTTTCTGTGCCTTCCCCAGTTCTAGATCCTTTCAGGGAAGGGGTGTCCAGAACTCTATTCAGAATTAAAAATGCAGCCGTGCTAAAGAAGTCTATAAACTGAGGATTTCTGCTCCCCCCCCTCCCCGGCCCTCCCCCAGATCTCTGAGAAGACCCATTCCACGGGTGCCGACGAATTCGCTCGAATACCTTCTCCATCTGGATGAGGAAGCAATCTATGAAGTCCCGGGGGTTGTTAGGATCGAGCGTTGCTTGGTTGGTTTTGACTTTCTCCGCAATGAAGTCTTTCAGGTCCTCGATGAGATAGTAGATGCGGTTGTGTCTCCCGGGCAAGTACTGCATGATGCCGGAATACATATCGTAGAGCTGGAAGAAAGAGGGCAGGGGGTGGGTTGCGGACAGTGTTCCTTCTAAGCTGAGTTTCGTTCACAAGACTCCACAGCTTATCCATGCCATAAAGATGGGTACCCAAAAGACGAGTGGGAGAAAATTCTGAGAAATCAATGAAACAAAACATATGCATTTATTCCAAAGCGCACTGAAACTCTTCTTTAAAAACACAGGCACGTTCCGCCCTTGAAGCAGAGAATACGTGGACTAAGAAGTCTCGAATCTATCTAACATGATACAATTCAATATTTCTAGGTTAAGAGCCCTGAACCGATTAAACAGGACCAACAATTCAATATCTCTCTAGGTTGATAGCAGTGTTCCCTCTAAGCTGAGTGAGTGTGAGCTAGCTCACAGTTTTTTATCCTCCGGCTCACACCTTTCTTCCTTAGCTCAGGAAGGAGGGCTCCAGAGCAAACTAATTTATGCAGTAGCCAAATCGTTCGCTCTCAACTTTAATGCCGGTAGCTCACAAAGTAGATTTTTTTGCTCACAAGAATCCACAGCTTGGAGAAACCAACAAAAGCGAGCCTTGAACCACCTTTGATATATTAAAACAAGGCTATTCTGGTGACAGGATCATAAGCCACTGGGTTGAAGGACTTAACATTGCTTTACTGTTATTTGCAGCAAAAAACAACCATACCATCGAAGTGGAGATCAGAAAGTAAACCAACCTTAAACTTATGGAATAGGAAGCTATGGATTTTTTAATATAATGGAAAAAATATCAGACATAATGAAACCAACAAAAGCGAATGGAGGGTATAGTGAATTTACTAGTATATGGCTACCTATCTTATCCGGCCTAGTTTCTCAAGAGATAATACCAGAGGTAATAGACACTCTTCCTCTGTGGTAAATGTTGATAATATGTTAATACTAAATGTATGAAGAATAGAAAGTTTTTGGTTCAGCCGCTGTATACCTACCCGTATTTAGGATGTTCTCTTTTAAGCGGTTAAGTTGAAGCATACTTATCCTGTTTAATGTTGGTAATATTTGTTATTGTAAATGGAATATTGAAAATTTGAATAACATTTAGTTTTAAAGAAAGAATATGCTCTAATGCCTGTTTCACATGGCTTCAAAATGTCCTTGTGATGGGTCAAATTTCAATTTTTTTTCTTGGATCTTGTTGGACATTGCTTTATCGTTGCTGCTTGAGAAGGGGGCCCTTACACCAGTGGCTTCCTCAGTGGACAAGGATTATCTAGACCAGGGGTATCAAACATGCGACCCAGGGGTCGGATCAGGCCCCCGGGAGGGCTTCTATCAGGCCCGCAGTGGAACTGGCTGCCTCCTGCCTTCTTCTTCCAGTTCTGCTGCTGCTGCGTCATCGTAGGTTTGCAGCTTACAGATACACACCTGAACAGCACACTCAAGACTGCAGCAGCACAGACATTTTGATGCGATAATTCGGAGCAAGAGGTGTCATTTATCAGACACTGTTAAATAAACAAAATATTGCAAGAGTGCTCATGTTTTAAGCATGTTTTTATTTTAAGTTAAAAAAAAAACCCTTTGTGTTTGTGTCCTTGATAAAGTTTATATCTCCGCTACCTGGCATCTCATTTTATGACACATGTGGCCCATCCCCAAAAGGTCTCATTTATGTCAGATCCGGCCCTCATTAGAGATGAATTTGACACCCCTGCTCTAGACAGTGTCTGTGAAGGACCCTGATGCAGCCTGTCAGGAACTGGAGGCCGAGGGTTGCCAGGTTTGGGTTTGGAAATCCCTGGAGATTTGGGGGTACCTTATCAGAGTATGAGGCCATGGAGTCCAAAGCAGCTGTTTTCTCCAGGGGAACTGATTCCTGTTGTCTGGAGGCTAGATGTAATTCTGGGAGAGCGACCATGCAAACCTCGTGGACAACCCTCCCCCTCCAATTTGCAGTGCCTTGAGGTCCGTGATGTAAGAAAGGTAGGGAATAAATGCGGGAAAGGTTTCCTGATGTTACAGAGTTTTAAAAGTCCGGCTCTGGGCCAGGCTTGCCAGTGCTGGGTTGGGAAATCCCTGGAGATTAGGGGCAGAGCTGGAGGAGGGTGAACTTTGGCGAGACAGAGCTCAGCAGCGGTGTGATGCCACAGCGCCCACCCTTTCCCCCAGGGGAACAGCCATTTTCTCCAGGGGAACTGCCCTCTGGGGACCGGCTGTCATTCCGGGAGATCTCCAGTCCCCGCCTGGAGGCTGGCAACCCCACCAGCCTGCCCGTTTCAGAGTGGGTGGGTGGAAGGGCCCTTCAGGCCCCGCTGGTTACCTGAGCCCAAGGGCTGCTCATCTCGATGAAGGACTCGTTGATCATGCGCAGGAGGGAGAGGAAAGTCTTGTCCTCGTAGTCGAAGCGGCTGCCGAAGACGACGGAGCTGATGACGTTGGAGACGGTGCGGCTTAGGAAGAAGGTGGGGTCAAAGGGCAAACCTTGGGAGCATAAAGAGAGGGGCGTTTTGTGGCTTCCGCCTCTCCCTGTGTCCCGCCCTGGGGGCAGGAGGGGACGCCGTGGCCGACACCAACCTTTGGTTTTTCGGAATTCCTCCATCAAGTACTGGGCCTCTTCCTGGATCCGCTCCTCAATGGACCGTTTCCCCATCCCGAAATTCCTCAGTACGGTGAGGGAAAAGCGACGCAGCTGCCTCCACCGGTCCCCGTTGGCTAAGGCTACTCCTGGGAGTGAAATGATTCAGGTCATCTTCTCAGAACTTCTCCCACAGCACACGGGGTGGTTGCCCCAGGTGCAAATTCAGGCATCACACAGGCCAATCTCAGAAGGGACCTCCAGGGTCACCTAGTCCGACCCCCTGCACAATGCAGGGAACTCACAAATACCCTCCCCCTCCACACCCACAGTGACCCCTGTTCCACACCCAGGAGATGACAAAAAGCCTCCAGGATCTCCAGGCAAACTGGCCTGGAGAGCAATTGCTTCCTGACCCCAAAGTGGCGACCGGCATTTCCCTGGGCGTGTCAGAAAGGGCCACGAGGACTAAGCACTGAGGCAACCCTTCCTGCCCTCCCTCTCGTGATCTGCCCAAGTTCACAGAATCCGCATGACTGTCCGATGGCCATCTAGCCTCTGCCCAAGAAGGAGAGCCCGCCACCTCCCGAGGAAGCCTGTTCCACTGAGGAACCGCTCTAGGAAGTTCTTCCCAATGTTTAGCCAAAAACTCTTCTGATTTAATTTCAACCCGTTGGTGCCGGTCCGACCTTCTGGGGCGACAGAAAACAACTCCGCACCATCCTCTATCTGACAGCCCTTCAAGTACTTGAAGATGGTGATCCTGTCCCCTCCCAGTCGTCTCCTCTCCAGGCTAAACAGGCCCAGCTCCTTCAACCTTTCCTCGTAGGACTTGGGGAGGGGGGGGGAACGCTGGACCTCTTGAGGGCACCTGGTATTTCTGGCCACTGTGTGACACAGAGTGTTGGACTGGATGGGCTACTAGCCTGATCCAGCACTGGCTTCTCTTATGTTCTTATGTCTGGGGAGTTCTGGCCCCACTGGTGGACCTCCTGGTGGCACCTGGTATTTTTGGCCACTGTGTGACAGAGTGTTGGACTGGATGGGCCATTGGCCTGATCCAGCATTGCCTTCTCTTGTGTTCTTATGTCTGGGGCAGTGACGCTCTGTACCCTTGGTGCTTGGGGGAGGGTAAAAGTAGGAGGGCTTTTGGAGTTCTGGCCCTGCTGATGGATCTCCTGGTGGTCCATGGGTTTTTGCCACTCTGTGGCACAGAGCGTGGGACTAGATGGGCCACTGACCTGATCCAACATGGCTTCTCATTTCTTTCCTTATGATTCAGGAGGGGAGCTTCCAAAGTATAGAGGCTCTACATGTTACAAAGGGCTCTTTCTTTCTTTCTTTCTTTCTTTCTTTCTTTCTTTCTTTCTTTCTTTCTTTCTTTCTTTCTTTCTTTCTTTCTTTCTTTCTTTCTTTCTTTCTTTCTTTCTTGTCCTTAAAGGAGTCAGTCTCATTCTCCAGTACTTACTTCTTTGCTCTGTTTCTAGCCTGCCTTTCTCATGGAGGCTGAAGGCAGAATCAGGTGGACAGTTGGTAAGTTCTACCAGGTTCCACCGGCACCTCTCCCTCCCAAGCAACCTAGCCAACCAAGCCCACTCACCGAAGCCGTTGAAGTTCCGGTCGATGCTGGCCAGCTCTCCCCTCCCACTGAAGTCGTCGGCCTGATCCACCAGAGCTTCCTTCACCGCCTCGTGCCCGCACAACACCACCACCCGCCGGGGCCCCAGGTACACGGTGAACACCGGTCCGTATTTGTCCCTTAGCTGTAGGAAACATCAAAGTTAGCAAAGTACGGTGCAGATTTGGGGATGCATCGAGGGGTGAAAGCGGCAACATAATAAGCCACCCTACATCCAAGTTGGGTCAATGATCCACCTGTCTCAGTACTGTCAAATCTCAGTGGCTCTCTGGGGCCCCAAGGTGGAAGAAGGCCCATAGCCAGTGTTCCCTCTAAGCTGAGTGAGTGTGAGCTAGCTCACAGTTTTTTAGCCTCTGGCTCACGCATTTCTGTCTTAGCTCAGGAATTATGGGGCTCCAGAGCAAACTAATTCATGCAGCAGCCAAATCACCTGCTCACAACTCTCATGCTGGTAGCTCATAAAGTAGAATTTCTGCTCACAGGACTCCACAGCTTAGAGGGAGCATTGTCCATAGATAGGAGCATTGCCCATGGTGGGCATTTAAATTTTCAAGGGGGCTTAAAGAAGTGTGCACCTTTTAAAAAATTGTAAAAAGAAAGGTGTTTTTTTTTAAAAGCATTTTGAGGACAAATTCCTGTGGGGCTGTGCCTTGAAGTAAGGCCCCAAATAGCACAACTGTAGCTACAGGCCTGGGTAGAAGAGGTCTTTCCCAACAGCTCCTGTAGCGGGTACTGGCCAGGTTTGAACCTGGAACCTTCGGCATGCAAAGGAGGTGTTAGGAAGCACCATCCCCTTCCCGGAGCTTAGAACTGCCTGGCTCTGTTTGGACAATCTTGAACACAGGATAATGCTAAAGCCTCCCGTGAAGAAGAAGAAGAAGAAGAAGAAGAAGAAGAAGAAGAAGAAGAAGAAGAAGAAGAAGAAGAAGAAGAAGAA